TTTTATGATATTGGCCTTTCCGTGTTTACAGATTAGAGCTTCACTGGAGAAATACTAGCAAGGAAAAAGGTAAGCTAACGTTCATAAACAACGCATCCGCTTCTTTTACACAAGATGTTTTAGTAAGTATATTGCCTACTGTAATAATGGAAAGAGAGATCAAAAACTTGCCACTATAATCAGTTTCCAAGCTACGGTATTCTTTAATATGCTCTATACGTATTATTATTTTGATGATATTATACGAAGATAAATGATTATGATCGCGATGATACTGACAGTATTTAGAAAATAGATATCAATCTTTTGACAAAGCACACTAGAATCAGCTTTATGCTATAAAAATTTATATTAATAGTAAATCACTAACAAGCTTGGAGCAACAACTATCAAAGACTTTACACGAAATACAGGTACTTTGATAGAACAGCACTTGATTTTGGGGCGATTTTAACGGTATCAATAATAACCCAATTGCTGCCATAAAATTGATTCAAGTGTGCTTCTTTGAGGGGAGGAATAGCCTTACTTTCTATGCTAGTAATTGCTAATTTAGCAATATCCATGGAATGAATAATGATAAAACAGAGCATTTGAGAGTAAAAACAGAATGATAGACCAAGGTATTTCCCTTCTTGCAATGATCATGGTTTCAGATTATATTCGCCATATACTACGTCTCCGAGTATACAGAAAATATTTGCAATTTTTTATTTCATTTCAGTTACTAATCTTAACATGACGTAGTCAGAAATTAACTACTGATTCCATGAATCAGATTTCACTTTCATGCATAAATATGATTCATTTTATGTTCTTTAACAGTCATCAATTTTATGAATTATGAAATCACGGTTACACCTAGGAGATTGTCGAGCGAGGCAGAATATTCATATCAGTGATAAGAGATTCTAGAAGTACAGAATTCATCAACTTGAGTCAAGTAGCAAGTCAGAATTATGAACGAATTTTACCATCAGTTATAGGGGTTTGCGTTTAGGCTGGAACTAAATATATAAATTAGCTTAACGTTTACATTGGATATTTATATTGATACCGGTAGAGAGGGATTCTAGATGCAATAAAGTCATGTACTTACACCTAGTTGAAGGTTTATGTTAGTATTAGGTAGATAAATAGATAGATATTAAGAGGACTCTATTAACACTACAATCATTGCTTATAATATAGTAAGTAATCGGAAACATAGGCAAAGTGCTATCTACCTACAAGATTCAAGCGGCTAGTCTGTTCAGATTTTATCAGAAGCACACATTTATGTTTTTCAGAGTCATATAAATAGTTAGGAGAAGCTAAATAATTTCATAGATTTCTAGCCAACGGTACTTATGGATACTACTAAATTTCACGACATTGATGCTTCCTAAGATATACTTATATGATTAGAGTTTTAGAAAGGATGACTCTACTATATCGGTTGTTTCATGTAAATAAAAGTAAGTATTCACTCTATATAGTTTCGTATGCAAAAGGCAATCTGTATAAATTCTTAGCAATTACGTATATTAATACTAAGAACCCAAGCGAAGAAAGGATAAGTAGATGATACTGTTGATAGACTAATTCCTCATAATATTACTAGGTGAATGTTTTTCTATTATTTTACCTTTAGTAATACTAAGAATTCATGCAATGGAAAGATACATAGATGATATCGTTGATAGTTTAACTGTTTATACTATAAAGAAAAGCATGATCGAATTTGATTCAACTCATGATATTATACACTATAAACGATGCTTGTGATTTCTTTAGCAACGGTGTGGATAGCAAAATCAAAATACCAGATAGTAGCCAATGATTTATATATCACTTTGCTTAAATAAGAAATCGTTATGAGGCGGGCTAATTTTATTTTTTAAAATTCATGCTTATATTAGATAGTGCTGATAGATTAATTGCTTACAATCTTACAGCAGTAAAAATTTTTTAGTATTTTACACTTAGTAAGACTAAGAATTCATGCGATAAAATGATACACAGAAGATATTGTAGATAGACTATCCGTTTTACACCGTAATATAATGAAAAAGCTTGATTACGTTTGATTCAACTCATATTATAGATGGACGATGCTTCTGATTTTTTCAGTAACAGTATCGATAGCAAAATAAAGATACTACATAGTAGCCAATAATTTATACATCATTTTGTTTTATTTACAAATCGATATGAGATTTGGCTGATTTTTATGACTAAAATTTATGCCGCTAGATTGCTGATCATGGTAAATATTATGATTATGCAATCTTACGGTATGTTTACTAATCATAACATTCTTCTCTAGTGGTAATCTTAAATTCAGTTGACCTCTTCTGTCATGGTTTAGTTAGAGCTGGATGACAATAAGGTGTAAAATAATTGGCTGAGCAATGTAAGTTATAGATGTGTTTACTTTTGCAGCACTTTCAATAGTAGCAACGTTAAAGCCAATTATCCTCTTTCGTTACGCTCCAATGAATACTAAACATGCAGAGAAAGGATGGCAATTAATATCTTGAAGCGCAAGCTATAACAGTTAACACAGTTTAAATATACACCTTACGCTATTCCTTACCGATATAATCTTAAAGACAATTATCCTTTGCTAAGATGTTTTGATACAATCTCAATCGTTAAGAATTGTGAGAAGAATTTAATTGTTCTTGTGGTTTCATTTATAGACAAAAACAAGCGGATTAACTACCCCAGTTACTGCTCCATTTCATTTTTTAATTATAATTTTCGTAATTATATTAGTTGGAAATAGATTCTGCGTTTACTTACCTTTAAATCTTATTTTTTGTTTATATCCTGGAAGATTTCATTACCGGGTGTCTAAATCTAACTTATTTACCCTTTCAGATATTCGTATATCATACCGCTATAGTAAATTTTATTACAGCGATTAATATTTTCGACGTTATCCTTTTTAAAGCTGTTAATCAGAAGTCCTATGAGATATTTAGCGTTCAAGAGAGGGTAGTAAATTGGTCAGAATTTAAAATATAAATACGTGTCTATCTTGAGAATATATGCTGGTTAGTGGATATGGTAAAAATTATTGGGAGGCTTGGCGAACTCCGAAGTGATTAAGAACTCAAAAAAAATTATATACCCCTTTACTTCTAATTTCTCTCAGCTCTTCCCTAATAGCTGATGTACTCAAAATTCGATGTAGAATATTAAAACAAACTCAGCATTGCCATTATTCACGAGTTCGAGTGCTTCTATGATTGGCTGCAAATAAGCTCAACGCTTCTCTGTCCATAATTTAAATTGATTGCTGGCTTAGTATGAATTTTAAAGACTGATCAAGGCTATTCAAAACATCCTTCTTCTTGCAGATAAAGTAAAAGTTCTAAAATTTATCAATTATTAGCAATTAGCTCATTGTTAAGCGTGCTTTTTCCGAAATCTTGCAATGATTATGATGGCTATTTTGTATTCAGAAATGTCTATTGTCCTGCACATTTCTGTACCGATTAACTATCTGCAAAGCTAACTGCATTGCATAAATAAAACTTCTGCCGGATGTACTACACTCAATAAGTATTTTCTATCGCTATCCATTCATAACATATGAGTGCAGAGCAATTTATGCCTTACAATATTCTTTGATCAAGTCAATTCTGTGTGAGCTTGTACTATAGAGAAATACTCGGGTGTAAATCGTTCTCAATTCATGGTCTTTGCTATACTATTTGTTCATACGGGTAGTATGGATAGATTGGCCATCAAAGTATAAATTCATCCATTCGCCAAGACCACTGGAGTATGACATTTTTACAAAATGATCTTAGATAGATTTGAAAACGTTTGAAATTGGCATTCTGTTTTTATTGCGTCAAGTTAAAATTCATTTTAAGTCAACACTATTGTGAATTCTTCATCGAATAACGAATAGGGAAGGTAATTTTACTCTAAATTAAGATTTTTTGTTATATTTTATCAGAACCACCTTGAGTTTTCCTTTAGTTATGCATGTCCTGAGTGTAGTTTACAATACGGACTCTTCTTTCGTTTTATACTTTATAAAGCTTTCCATGTTGGCCATTCCTTCCATTATCATTGTAATTAATATCATTTTATTGTGATATTTACCTGTTTACTAAAGTAATTACTGAAACGGGATTATGCAGCAGTACCGTATTAATAAATATCTCAGAAGTGGTCATAAGGGTCGATTGACTCATGTTTTCATCAAGACTTTTAAGTATTTTATTAATCCTGACTCTACTTTATCGCTCTTAAAAAGAATTTATAGAGATTATTAGTATAGAGTATTGCAAATATTTTTATTTCTGATAATAATTGGTAATGACTATACAATTTTTACATTAAATTAATGATTTTGGCCATATTTTACTGCAATTTATAAACCACTATATTATATAGAATCTGATTTTCGTACAAATATTTTTATTTTCAATAACAATTGGTAATGATAATTTTACTTGACGGCAATAGTTTTTACCATGTTTTACTTAAACTTATAGCTTACTTATCTTACCGAGCCCGATTTTTCGTATCAATATTTTTGTTACCGTTAGCTGATAATGATAATTTTTACCGCTATTAAATTAATCATTTTCGTCACACTTTAAAAGGACTTACATATCACTACTTTATATTGACTCCGATTTGCATAAATATATTTTTATTTGAGTTAATAATTGGTAATGATAATTTTTACTCTAAATGAAAGATTTTTAGCACATTTTACGGCTGGACTTATAGACCATAACATTATATTGAGTCCAAATTTCCGTAGTTGTTTAATGTACTTAGCGAATTCCGTAACATTTGCCCCATGACAGTTTAGTCATCAAATTGATATACAATAAGTAACTATGTTTGACATTAACAGCACATAGAAAAACAAGCTAGATGTATGATCCACTATCGGAAAGTTTCAAGTCACCTATCATTAAAGCCTTTTGTTCTAAATTCTATACAATTATCGCTTTCTGATAAATTAGATGAAGCTAGCGTGTAAAATGAAATGGATCTCTTTGGTAGCTTTATGGATTTGGACTACGATAACTCCAGGTAGCGTAATCTACCATTATTTATGCAAAACTCTTGAATATTTTTACGTTAAAAATACAAAATCATCTAATATATTGCTATAATAATTATAACGCTTAACTCCTACACAAGAATGAACACTGAAATAATCTCATTAGCATGAAAAAATTAGCTTACGTATTCTTTCTTAATTAGGTAATGCGGAAAATTGTCCCCAATACTGTTTGTGCTTGCAAGGTCTTATTTCATGTCAAGATGCTCGAACAAGCACGGTTCCAGTCAGCAATGTGACACGTCCAGATGTATTAGTTCTGTAAGTGATTCAAAAAGGCTTTTCTTAGGTATTTTCTAGCTTCAATAGATCATAAAGGTCCTTTTCTAGTATCATTTAATATAGACTAGATTTGATTTTTGTAAAAGCTTTAGTTATCCTGTCTCTGATTAATTTTTCGATGACAAACCAAGTTGATAATTCTGAAACACGGCTGAGTTGTACAGTATACGAATATTCCGACATTAATATTCGCATTGTATTTAATACTCTCGCTTAATACCTCCCCTTCTTTGTACTTCTACATTCTTCAAGATATTTGCTACTTTTATATGTGGCATATACAAATAATAATTAATTGCTGATATAGCTATTTAGATAGTATATAGATACTTCAGTTGGATAGCTATTCCTTCCGTGGCTTTAAAATTTTACAATTTCTATTAGTTGATCCCGCTTAGAAGCGTATCCATAACATTTTTACAATTATACAACAATTTAATAATTTTTTGCCTCTACAATATCTCCTAGATTCTATAATGGAACTTCTGTTAGATCAATCAAAGCACAAAATTTTATGAACTACCCTAATTTGTTAAACATGTAAGTACCATAAAAAATGAAATACTATCTACTGGCCAACTTTTATCATCTTTTGCTATTTTGAGAGGAAGGATTTGATATCGTATGTATACTCGTATTTTTATAAGGAATCAGCTCACCTTTTTTTCCTATATTTATAAAGACATTTATCTGCAAATTTTTATTTTTTGGATATCTCAGTTAACTACTACCCCAATTTAGGTATAGTATACGCATATACATTGCGCAGATCAGTTAGTTATGTAACTTTATCATTTAATGGAGATACTGGTCGGTTATACAACTAATACCAATTTATGCATAGTATAGCTTACCGTATTTTGAACGAAAGGTTAGCTATCTCAATTAGAAGCCTGATTACCGAATTACAGTTGCATAGTAAACAGGGATTAGCAAGATTTAGAAATCCTTGATGGTAAAGTAGATTACATTTTCCTATAGAGTATCTTAGTTCATTAGGCGGTGCCATTTTTTGTATATATATAATTATTTTGTAGCTATACGTATCAAGTACAACTAGCTTCCTTTAATCCTTAATTCGAGTTTAATATTGAAGTCAATTTATTTCCTATCACACCATAGCTAGCTACCTTATTCAGTTACAAAAGTTCTATATAATTTTTTTATAATTATTGTATAGAAGGTCAGCAATCGGTAGTCATTTTATTCTCTAATTGCAATTGCATCCGGAGTAATTTGCGATTTGTATCTCAGTAAATTGTACAGGTTCATGTATAGCTAATAAACTATAACAAATATATATGCTGGTGTAATTATTTCAAATCAATCAAATCCTTGAAAAATAAATTTTTATTTTGCTTTCTTAAGAGGCTATACTCAATCGAGCTAAACACTCGCTGCAAATATCCACTTAGAGTGGATATCAATATTTTTTTAAAATAAGCCGAAGAGAGTAAATCATTAAAGGCATTAAAGATATGAAAGCTATAGTAGAATGGAATAATATTATTTAGTCCTTGTTCGTAATACTGTAGATCATTCTCATTATTACTAGAATTTTTGCCCATAATGCCATCGAGGTCATTGAGCCAAATGCTTTCTGTGGATTAAACGGACTTCGGAATTTGTACGTATGATCATGAGTTAAATTAAAAAATAACCAATTTTCTAAGACAAGCTATCATACTGCTACGGTATTAGTCTCAGTAAATTAATGAATAGTCGGCGAGAAGCGCTCTTATTTTGCGACTTCATCTGATCTTTTACTATCTTGTATGATTGCTATCGTGGTGAAGACGATTAAATTCCAATGGCTTGAAGCGGATTAACAATGACACTTTTGCATGTTTACCTTATTTAAAGATCCTGTAAGTTGGAGAATATAACATTAAAGCAGTGTAGTTTTAATTATTATTAGCTTATAATATTGCTACTTCTACCGTACCCGATGTAAATCGCTTGGTTGCAACATTTGAATAGCCAATAAAGTTTATTTCAATCTTGATAGCCTTAAAATTAGCTTATGATCCGATATTGCGACTGATTTATGGCTCATTGGAATATAAATCTATTTTTTCTCCTATAGCAATATGGATTATAACGATATCGATGCGATCGAATCGCGAGCACTGTGTGGACTGAAAAATCTAGAGACCTTGTAAGGCGTTCTTAGAAACTTGTTGCCAATGTAAAACTTTTCCATTCCAAAAAAGCATTCAGATAGCTTGATTTAGACACAGAGAACTCCTGATACATAATTTATTGCATCCTGATTTATCTAAAGAATGAATTGATTGAAATGCTTGTTAATTGATTGGTCCTTCTTTATGGATTTACGTAGGCATTTAACTAGCAATAATCTGAAATCCATACCGCAAGATACGTTTTCTTGCCTAACGACATTAAAATTTCTGTAAGTGTTTGTAAATAAATATTTGTACGGTAATACTATGTATGTCTGATAGTGACTATGTAGATTATAAGACTGGTTAAAGTCAAATATCTATTCTTTAACTAGAATCAATCAATTAAAATAAAACTTATTAAACGCATTCCATGCACATATATATAAATTTTATTACTATTGTTTTCAAGATTAGAACTACTGTACATTTCATAAACGATTTGTTTCTGGCAACCAGCAAGATTATGCCAGCTACATTTTATGATTCATAAAATGAGTAATATTAATGGTTTTGGGTTATGCAGAGCTATGCTTGATAGTCAGTGATTTTAAATAATACGTACAATGTAGTTAGCAACTCTGATCGAAATTATCTAACCAGTGTTATAATTTTAATTTCGTAAACTCGTAAATAAAAATTTCCATCGATTTTACCTCCTAAAGAACGTCAATCGTATTACATACATCGATAGAATTTTATTTAAGGAATCGAATCGTCACCTAAGTCTGACAAGCATTAATACAATTCAATTGTTTGCAGATATTTAGATTATAATGGCGTAGGAGTAATTGATCCGAAGATGTTTTGTGGACTGAATTATCTAAAGACATTGTGAGTACAATTAACGTTTCTTCTGTTGTATCGCTCCTATTTATCGGAGAATTAGGAAAATGAATTAATTTTAAACTGATGAGATAAATGACATTTCTAACTCAGTGATGATGATATAGCTAACCCATTTTATCCATGATGGATTACGTTTTCGTACCTTTGAATAGATCTCTTACTGGTAATCAAATTAAAAAAGTATCGAACGAAACTCTGGCATATTTAGATTCATTGACAACTCTGTAAGTTAAAATAGGACCACGAGAATATAGTGACACTAGTGGAAAAAAGTTACTATAGTCGTGTAGATATGCTTCGTAGATCCGATATCTGATGATTCACAACGACAGAATAAGAGATAGTCTTAATGAAATTATAATTACATTCTAAGCTGAACTAATATAAATCTGCCTAAAGTTCTGAAAATACTTTATATTTTATGACATTTCCTGGGATTTTAACTATATTTGTACTTCTCTTTTAAACCGTTTAGGAATTTAGGCTTTAACGATATTGATACATTAGATAATAATCCATTTTGTGGCATAATGGGCTTGCAATTTCTGTAAGTTGCATTATAAAATTTTTGTATGATCAAAAAGAAATACTATGTGCAATTAAGAAATTAATTCATATCAACGTTAATTCAATTTTAAACATTTTCTAATTATAATTAATTTCTTCAAATTCTAATAGTCAACTAACCAGTAACAAGATAAAAATTTTACGCAATAGAAGTTTGACATGCCTTCAGTCATTGCTGTTTTTGTAAGTTGTAATTTGCTATTTGGAAATTTATATTTTTATCCTTTGATTTTATACAAATTCAGTAGTAAATATCCATATTAGTCATTAATATGGCTTATTTACACGTACATGCTACCATAGCTATGATTGCCAGTCTTATTATCTGAATGGGGAAAACAAGCTCAATCAAGCTTTTAACTAATAAAATAGTAAATCTTGTATAACTATTTTAGACATATTAATTAATTTTGTTTATTAATGTTTTGATCATTAAAATAAGATGTAGCAATACTTTTACATGCTAGAGTAAATATTTTACGCAATTATAGAAATATTATGATAGCTAGTTCCAAATTATGGCCCATTTTTACTGTTGATGCTGAATAGAGCAGTTATAACATATTTTCTTTTTCCTTTTTTTAAACTTGGATCTGAACGAAAGATCTCTTGATCATAATTCGATCGATACTGTTGAAGAAGATACATTTTCAGGATTGCGACAATTAATCAAATTGTAAGTTTACTGACGAATTATTCTACTATTGGATATCAGTTCTTTTGCTAGCTTAGAATTAGTAACAGCGTATCTTGCTGCTATTCTTATTTATACGATTCAATAACATTATGACTATTTTTAAAATAAAACAGCAACTAATTGAATTTATACTGTACAGATAGCCATATAACATTAGTATTTAATACGGCAATTTCTTATATTATGACTGATAATAATAATTATAGTAAATATGATGAGTTCTCTACACTGCTGTTAGTTTATTTAGTTATAACTCACAGCATTAGCTAGCTTTACCTACATCAAACCAGTATGAAAGGTTTTTATGTTAAATTACAAATTATCTGCTCAAACTACACCTAACTTTTACTTGAATTTGCGTTATTTGAAGAGATTTATCAGCGAATCTTTTAAGGAGGGTACCGTCAAGCTTTTTTAGAGATCTCACATCATTGATATATTTGTAAGTATAATAACTACATAACTAAATTCAGTAAAACTAAATATAGCAATTTACGTAGTATCATAAAATAGATCCAGAGCCGTGATGACGGTTAAGATTTAAATATAAAGTTCATGACTATTTGTGTTTTAATCATGGACTTTGTATCCTTATTGTAGGGATCTCGATTATAATCTTATCGAAAGCATTGAGCCAAAATCCTTTTGTGGAATCAATCGGTTGCAAACTTTGTGAGTTAATACGATCATTTATAAGAACCTTCAAATTCCAGTACATGATTTCAAACAATAACTGATTAATATTGAGGTAATAAATGCATTAATTTGCTTTTTCCCAATAATCGCAATGATTAGGCTCTTAAATGGCAATAAAATCAAAGAAATAAAGTTGGAATCTAGTTTGGCCTGTCTATCTTCGCTAC